TGGCCACGATCTGCTCTCCTCTCACCGTGCCGACCCCAAGGTTGGTGGGGAATTTGACGGCAAGATAGAAAGTGAATGTGATAGCTTGGAAAGCATTTAGGGCGGTGTGGCCGAGGATGATGTTGTAAGCAGAGGGATAGTCAACGACGAGGAAGGTGAGCAACTTTGTGGTCTACCGCAGGTATTCTCTGATTGTGATGGAAAGATCGATGGAGCCGATAGAGGTCACCCAATCTCCAGTAAAACCGACCAATGGGGTTTGGAGAGGGGACAGACTTTCTTCCCTGACCTTGAGCTGGCGAAAGGCATTTAGGAAGATGATGTTTGAAGAACTGCTATCGTCGATGAGAACCCGTCTACCTTTGTAATTGGAGAGGAGAGCAGAGATGACGAGGGGGTCGTCAAGGGGATAAGGGATGCCTGTGCAATCGGCCTCCATAAAGGTGATGGGCTCCATCCACTGCTTGGGTTGTTTGGAAGGGCGGTCCAATGTGGCAACTTCTTTGTCTAAGCCCTGCCTTATTTTTCTGAGTTTTGCCCACTGAGCCGAGCGGGATGGTCCTCCACAAGCAAGCCCGCCAGCAATAACTTTGATCTCTCCAACAGGAAGGGCGGGGTTACCTTGTGCCCGGGGTTGCTGTGGAGGGCAATCATGACCTTGGTTAGGTTGTGCAAGTTGTCGAGGAGGGGTGCGCCGGCGGTTGTTTCTAATGGGTTCAGTCCTTTGCCTCTGCTGAGAGTGGGCTTCCGTGAACCAACTGAGACATCCCTGACGTATCAAGCCCTAGACCTAGTCTTTGAGGTTAATACACTCCTCCATATTATGGCCGTGGTCCTAATGAAAACGGCAGTATTTGGACTGGTCTCGCCGGTTGGAAGGAGACTGTGACGGTTGGGGCCATTTTAGGGGATAATCTTGTTGAATCTAGTTCAAGACTTGTTCCATGGGTGAGTTGGGGGGGTGTACCGTTCGAACCGGTCGAGCGGTCGGGTTGACGCCGACCGGTCGGCTCGGGGAGGTCGGTCGGTATACTGAGGTGTTTGGTGAGTGTACTGGGTGTTTCTGGTTTCTGAGTCCTTTTTCTTCTCTCTGGGGGTCGGGTTTTTGGCTGTAGGTTCTTGTTGGGCGGCTAGGGAATCTTCGGCGTTCATGTATTTTTGGGCTTTGGAAAGTAAGGTTGCCATAGAGGTCGGGGGGTTTTTTGAGAGGGAAAAAAGGAAATCAGATGATCGTAGACCGGCCATGAAACCGTGAGAACGACCTTGTTATCATTTTCTGCCACCTGCAAGGCCTCGGTGTTGAAGCGGGTGACGAAGCTGTGCAGCGACTCTCTCTGTGTCTGGCGGATGTTAAGGAGTTGAGTTGCCAGACGCCATTGGCGCTGGGCACCAATGAAGTGGTTGAGGAAGGAGTCACTCAGGTGCTGAAAGATAGAGACAGAGTCCGTCGGTAGCTAACTAAACCACAGTCAGGCTAACCCCTTAAGGGTTACGGGGAAAACCCGACATATGATTTCATCAGGGAATGCATGGAGGATCATAAGGGTCTTGTAGCTCTCCAAGTGATCGACTGGGTCCGTTGTACCGTCGAAAGAGTCAATAGAGGGCATTTTAAACTTAGGAGGTAGAGGTTTGTCCCTAATGGAGGCAATGAATGGTGAGTTGGCTGTGGTAGATGGTTTATGTTGTATGTTCTGCATGATTCCTTGAAGCTGGTGCTTCATGGCTCGGAGTTCCGCGTCCCAGAGTGGAACGTTGTCACCACCGGAATGCAGCGGGGGCTGGACATTACTGGCCTCTCCCTCGGGTGTGGGTTCTTGGACCGATGGAGGTGGGACCCGGGGTGGCGGGTTTATATATGGGGGAAGAGGTCGCAAGCCTTCCAAGTTGGGTGGATGGGACTGCCAGATAGTATAGCTCGGGGCTCGTTCTTGGTTGGGTGGGATATCTGGAGGTGGCGGAGGAGGCATAGGAAGGTTTCTTTGGAGTAGAGCATTAATCAGGGCTTGGTTTTGCTCAGTTAGGCGGTTAATGCTGTTGGTGACCTCAGTGAAATACTGCGGCAGGTTGTTTGGATTGGGAGGGTCAGCTTGGTGGTCGGCAGCATTGTGGTGAGAAGCCATGAATCTAGTTGTGACCATCTACCTTGGTGGGTGATGGGAAAGGGTTATTGGGAAAGGGTCTCCGGCGACAATGAGCATAACTGGCGCACGAAGCAAAAGGATTCCCACAGACGGCACCAACTGATGATACAGCATGTTCCAGATGGAACGGATCGGACTGATCCACGCTTCCCAAACCAGTGTTTGAGGTACCAAGCCCACAGAGAAACCTGCACAAGAGTTTAACGGGGAACACGGAGTCCCCCAGCGAGTCCTCCGACGAGCAAGTTAGAAAGAGAGATGGAATGTAGAGCTAGATTAGAGATAGAAAGCTTAATCTTCTTCTTGTCTTCGATGCTTGCTTATATCATCTGGTAATCATTTCGTTATCCCTCCCGACCTGTCATTTTGGCCGAAAGTCTATGCTCTAGCTTGCCTTGTTCATGGTGAGGTCGTTCTGTCTCAACGGAGAGGGGTTATCGCAATAAATGCTGTAAGGGACTTCATTAATGGCTGATGTCTAGTGTAATAACTTTGCAAGATCTTTGTCTGCTTATGTGGCTTGTCCTTCTCTTGCCACGTGTTTAGATATCATTAGTTCTTAATGCCATGTTGAGCTCCAGCAACGTTGGGCTTTAGTATTTGAATTATTTATTAGGCCCTAAGTGGTGGGCTATACCCTTTATGGGCTTACCCGTGTCAAATACTATTATACTAATACACACTATATTAATAATTTCATCACTCAATATCGTCATACTCCGAATCCTAGTCAAATGAATCTAAAAAATAAGCATGGGTTAAAAACTCTACAAATACCCTCTTCTGGAAGAGCAAAAATCATACGGTTTTATAATTGATGAAATCAAAATCTACAAATTTATAGATAAGAAAATAAAAAGAAATTCTCTAATAGTTGATGGGATTTTCTTATATTTTTCCTTTATATTTTTCTTATATTTTTTCCGATATTTTTCCTTAATATCGGATTTTTACAAGTTGAATCACCCATTGTTTAGAAGTATATTCTATATAAGGTCAACATGAATTTCAAGAAATAACAGAAATTAACTTTTGATTCTCAGTTTTATTTTTGTGTCTGCTCAAGTGCTCACATGCATACATGTGCAATGCACAAACAGAGCTTTTTGTGATGACACCAATTCAAAAGGGTGAGCTTGTCTGTTGAGCGAGTTTTGAGCAAAGCAACTATCACTGTTTAAAAGGCAAGATATTGATCAAACAAGTGATTGTCGGAATTAAATCACAATTCAGTGGATCACAATTTCACAAAACTTACATATAAGAGCATTTTAATTTTTTAGTCAAATTAAAGCTATTTCATTATTTTAGCTATTCACTTTTTAACACCTACTGCATCAAACTCTTTATTTTAACTTATTCTTATTAAATATTGTTTTCTTATTGTGTTTGTTAGTCTTTCTTTTTTTATTAAATTGATAAGTTACCAACCAAATAATTCTTCAAAAAAAAAAAATGTCGTTGACCGGTTGACCGGACTTTCGTGCGGACATCCGGTAACACACAAATAATGATGAATAGTGTCGCACTTGTTATAACGAGTTATTGTAGCGTTCGTAAATTTTGACGAGCTGCAAGCGAGTTTGATGTGGTTGATTTTTTTAAAGTTTTTAGCTAAAAAACAAGTTTGAAAAGATTGATGCAGATGCTCTAGAGACCACATAACACACATACACATACATTTATATACATATACATACATGCATATATATATATATATAGAGAGAGGGAGAGAGAGATGGAAAAAGTATCACCTGGGAGAAATTGCATATTATTAGGATCCTAGAAAGGGTCGGCCCTAGGTATAGGCCCATCAGGCCATGGCTTAGAGCCCCTCAAAATAAATTAAAAAAAAGAACCCCTCTTATTATAATTTAGTGTAATATATTAGATATATTTTAAGTCAAAAAAAAAAATAAAAGAAGGCCTAAACTAATTTAAAACAAATTGACCCATTAAAAAAATTAAAAAGCTCATTTTGATGTGGTTGATTTTTTTAAAGTTTTTAGCTAAAAAACAAGTTTGAAAAGATTGATGCAGATGCTCTAGAGACCACATAACACACATACACATACATTTATATACATATACATACATGCATATATATATATATATATATATATTAGAGAGATAGAAAAAGTATCACCTGGGAGAAATTGCATATTATTAGGATCCTAGAAAGGGTCGGCCCTAGGTATAGGCCCATCAGGCCATGGCTTAGAGCCCTCAAAATAAATCAAAAAAAAGAACCCCCTCTTATTATAGTTTAGTGTAACATATTAGATATATTTTAAGTCCAAAAAAAAAAATAAAAGAAGGCCTAAACTAATTTAAAACAAATTGACCCATTAAAAAAATTAAAAAGCTCATTCAAAATTAAAAGGACTCATTCTCTCTCCTTATCTAATTCCAAACACTAACTCTTAATTCAATTTTTTCAAAAATTTGAGAGAAACAGCACAACAGAGCATTAACGAATTTCTCAAGAATTTAGAGCAAGTATTATTGATTTATTTGCTTCTAAAAATGCAAGAAGAACGAAAATCAAGTGATACTTATTAGTTTGTAATGTAATGCTAAGTATTTTTTGTGATTTTGACACAAATCTTTTGTCTTTTATTTTAAAAAAAAAAAAAATTGTTGAATGAAAAAAATATATATATGTGAAGGGCCCCAAATGATCTAGTGATATTTATGAGTTGATTATTGACTTTGGGCCATAGAAATCTCAGGGCCGGGCCTGATCCTAGGCATGCAATCATAGCAGCAGTTGAACAAATCATAAATGTTTTGTTGCTCAAATGATCCCCTGATTTTTTAAACAAAAATACCACAAAATCATAGTGAGAATAATAATGGCATTCAAGATTATGTATTACTGGAGTTATTAGATAATTCATGAGAAAGAAACCATACAGAATTATTAAGATCATACCAGAAAATAGAAGAGAGAAGCTTCGCACATCAGAAAATATGCTTACATCTGGCTAGCAAGGTTTCCCTAAAGAATGTCCTTTTCTATAACTTTCCGTTGATCACGAAAAACAATCCTAACATTTCTAAGGAATTTAGAATCCAATTTATATGTACAAAAGAAGACAATGAAAATCAAGCATCTTGCTCTTTTCTTTAAACCGACTGTAAGTAAGTATACATGTCAAAGATATCAAGACTTACTATTGCTCTGAATTGAGTGTGGCTTTGCAATGTCATTGATTTCTCGTGTTTGACTTAGCGTCCGTGTCTCGTCACCCTCATAAGGTAATACAACCACAGGGGCCGCAGGCACAGCATCCCAACGCTCCTTCAGCAGAGTCATGAACCTCATGACCATTTGTCTCCTGAACTCGAGCTCCCCGGTGAAGATATCAAAGACAAGGAAAGCAAGAATGAATTTGAAAGGGACAACGAGGAGAATCGCTGAACTCATTAACAGGACCAGAGCAACCTCAGTCGTTATCTGAAAAATATTTTTAAACAAAGGAAGAAGAAAGGAAAATTTTAAAATTTTCAATATTCAAAAGCATGACTAGAAATTCTACAAGTGGAAAACAAGTAACAATTACATAAAATAAAAGTAAACAATGAGTTTGTCCATCTTTACCAAGTAATAGAGAGGTTTGCCTAGATGCATATCCTTAAGAAGATATTTGGATAAGACATGTTGTTGCAAAACTGTTCTTTCTAACATGTGTCCTATTTTTGAATGATGTTTGGTTGAAAAAGATAGTCAATTACCCATTGGCTTCAAGGGGAATTTTCCAATAATATTAACAAAAAAGTACTTTTAGTTTAGTCCTTACCAAAAAATTGGCATAGTTTTCTACTCCCATAATCGAACCTACAATCTCAAGATTAGTAGGTCGAGTTTTAACCACTGAACCAATGGCCCCGTATGTTAACTTCAAATAAATAAAAGAAACACAGGCAAAACAGTGAATGGGCGCATATTTATCTTTGAGAAAACACATTCTAAGAGTCCACAAAAAACAAAATAAGCACACTTGATTTGGAAGAGCAAAATCATATTAGAAGGCATTACCAAGCTTCTCACAAGTTCAGTTATGAGCCAACTTGCCTGAGGTTGGCCTGCAAGAAGAATTGTACGTATTTTTAGAAGCGAAACATTTAGATTCTGGAGATACTTTTCGACTTCACGCATGGCCTCTTTGACAGCCATGATCTTTTGAATCGTATTTGATTGCGGCTGATCATGTATTGTGACTCTTCCAAAATATCTTCCAAGGCGGCCTTGCTCCCTCAGCCCCTTTAGTAATAACATGCCAGCAGCCAACATCATCAATGTCATTGGGAATACAAATGACAGCAAGTTTCTGACAAAAACAGATATCAAAGCTTGTGAATATTGATGCTTTCACAGATCAAACATGTAAGCTCAAATAAGAAATGTGTGGAAAAGATTCCAATTATGAACAAATTATTTAAAATCTACAATAATACCAACTGCCTAATCTAATATAGAAAGCCAGTTGCTAAATAACATTGCACAAAATTAGATATCACTGAATAAGATTACAGAGCAAGGGAGCATCAGATATTGAAATTGGCGTATACTACTTATGAGTTGATCTAGTTGAAGCATATGTTAGAACAACATAGGTCAAAGCATTATCATCCTATGAATCTCTTATGTGATAACCAAGCAGCAGTTCACATCACCACCAATCCAGTGTTTCATGAGAAAACAAAACACAGAGGTTGATTGTTATTCGTTTAAGTCATGTAAAGCCAGTAGATCAGTTGACAGATTTATTCACCAAACTTTTGTGTGGTCCTCGAGTAAATACATTTGATATATATGCACCAGCTTGAGAGGGAGTGCTGAGGGTATTCATGTCATATGTAATGTAATACATTTTTAAAATAAATAGTTAGAGGAGCTAACCCTAAGGTTAAGCATTCTCATTCTTCTAAGCTTCCTCTTTTTCACCTTAACATACCTGAAAATAATAGCATATGAAAATGCAAGAAAAGCAGCAGTCAAGTGTGGCTCCTCCCAGCGCCTAAGTTTGTCAATACTTTTGGCAGTGATAGTCAAAGGAAGAACAAGTTCCTGAGTACAAACAACAAGCCAATATTAAGAGAGATTTAACGGGGAGAAATAACTTAAGGACTACAACCACCAGAAGCAAATCAGCTAAAACCAATTCAACAAAAACAATATATTGCTGCTTTTTCAAGATTTTATCAATTTCTGTGACCTGTATCAAAATCAAGCAATCCAGATCAATATCTTTTTCAACAGAGTGAAAAGTTGCAAGCACAGTAGCAAAATTCGGAACTGCTCAACAATGGCGTCAAAAAAATGAAATTTTAAATTATTAGATTGCTGTTTAACTTTGTTTCCCAACAGACTAGTGCTTGTCAGATGTAAGGGTGCATAAGAAGTTTCCGGTGCCAATGAGCAGATCAACTGAACTAACTACTTATTTATCATGACAAAGACAAAAATAATAATAATAATAATTAATAAAAACAAAGATAAGAAAGTACTGGCTTGAATACCCACCACCTAAGTAACAAAATCATGAATCCAAAATTTTGGTTGAACTTTAACAACTTATGGCATTGAAATCTAATCCAGATGTTTATGGAACAGTAGTAAAGTATGCATCAGATATTAACTGCAGTTATGTTACCTAAATGATCTTACTACAGTAGACATTTATAAAACATGAAAAACAAAATTGAAAAGTAAAGTGGAATGCAATATCCATGTATAAATGTAGGATATAGAAAGGAAGTCGGACAAAAGATGACAAAATAAATAAATAAAAGAAGTAATATATAGTCCAACCTTGAAAAGGTCAATGTTACTAGGAATCCCTTCGAGCATTGCAGCATAAATTGTGGCTTGTGTTTTTTCAACCTCACTGTGTTTTTCTCGGCATGTAATTGCTGCCTTTTCTACCAAAGTCATACCAGCCACAACAAGATTTTTACTCAACACTACTCCTCGTCTTACTGAAGCGTTCTTCCAGAAAGCAACCGATGCACTAGAAGCCCACGATGGAGATCTCATCCACTTCCGCAAGTATAAACTTCCATCTATGTCAAACACATGATTGCTACTTTCTGATACTTCATTGGAATTTACATACCCTCCCTCAGTAAATTTTGTAACCAATTGGCCACCCCAACAATTTACAGCTAGAGTTTGGCACACAACATCACCATAGGGTGCACTTTGCAAATACGAGAATTGAACAAGTTTAATGGGATCTTCCAAGGTCTTCCGCATAAACTGAAGAGCCTGAAGTCGTGCAATACTATTGATAGCATAAGTAGTAGCCCTCACCTTCCCTTTGTGAGAACCATATACATTATACACCGATTGATCACCATCCGCTGGTCCAAACTCCCTTATGAACTTGTATAAAGCAATAATCTCAGAAATAAATGCATACCACACATCGCGTCTCATTTCACCTCCCAAGTCAATAAATTCAAGTACCCAAGTTTTGGACCTGATGACAAATACAACGGAAATATGAATTTACTGAGCTTAACTGAGCTAGTAGAAGACGCAAAATTGTAAATAAAAAATAGAGCGTCATAAACCATGGAAACCCTTAACAAGACTCAAGTTGCATCATCATGACTTATGAGAAACTCTAAACCACAAGGGACAACAATATCTCACACTAAAAAGGAAAAAACATTCCCACTGCATTCAGAAGTTCCATATTGAGTTAAATATGAGCAAAATCCTGAGGTATTGTAGTAGGAATAATTGCATCTCTTAAAACTGTATTAATCACTCGCATGTAAGAAGATACCATGATACCCTTTGTCATTACAATTATTAATCTCTCTTCATGGCTCTCCTACGATATTGCAGCAGAACAACATCATTAACAGAATTAACTAGTATGAGAAGGAGAGGCATAACAGCTAGCTGCTAAATGTCTTATTTCACATAAATAGATACTTCTCTAATGCACCGTAAAATAAAAACTTAAAGACTCAAGTAATGCTGTAGAGACAGGTAAAGAAAAGCTTACTCACTCTGCACCAGCGGAAACAGAAACGGCAGAGTCAAAAAGATCAAATCCCAGAGGCCCAACCCTTGTTTTCTCTACCATTGTGCCATGTTTTGTAAGATCCAGTCTTACAGCACCTTTTTGCCCACCCAAGCCAACGCCCTAGCACAAGAATAAATAAATAAACCACTTCACGAAAAGATCACTGTAACCAAATATTTAAGATGAGATGAAGTAACAAAATTTCACCAGAACCTAATATTTATGAGGGAGGCATTCAATTATGTTCAGAGCTATAAGAGGATCCACACAGATATTCTCGTTTTGGACGACTAAAGGAGTCTAGATAATTTTTTTGGGCGAGACTTTGGTACTGGACAAAATTTATTCAAAACAATAAATAGATAAAGACACTTTTAAAATCTTTCTTGCTCTCCATAATTTGCAATCATATTTTCTCTTTGTTTGGTAGGGGCACATAATTGCTCAACCGGCTAGAGATAATAAATACCTCAAAGTAGAGTGCTTTATCAGTCAAAGTAAGTTTTCCTGGCCAAGCGTTGTTATTCTCCCATTTCAAGACAGGCCGCTTCCTGCTTGAACCAAGGCATAGGATTCTTTCACTAGAATGCTGGGGGCCTTCTTCAAACTCATATAATTTCCGTCCTTCATGCACTCTAAACCAAAGAAGGAAAGAAAGAAATAATAATAATAATAATAATAACGGTGCTCAAATCAGATTGTAGTTACTGGTATTTATAAAAGATTAGGTCACAAATATTATCCTCATGCACTATAACAAGCAGTTGAACTATGCTGGTAAAACACGTACATAATACATACGTAGAAGACATATACAATGTAAAGCATGACAGCCCCTGAACAGAGACAATTCTTGAATAAAATCTAAATAATTTTATCCATCAACAATGGTCAAAATGTACAAATCATTAAGTTCAACCATCATGCACATTTTAGTTGGAAATATGAAGTACCAGAAGAAGACTATAACCTTGCAAAAGAGATTAAAGGAAATGAAGAAACTCACTTGAGAAGTTCATCCATATATGTGGACCACGTGTTAAAGGAGATGCCCTGTTCATCACCAGCAAGAGCCTTGAAAAGGCTATGTGCTGTTGACCGATCAGCCACACCAGAAATAGCAGGAGCAATACGAACAAAAGCCTTTTCCCGTACACGCCTCGTCTTCAGGGTCAATCAGAAAACATTATGCTTTTTTCAGTCATAATGCTCAATATTATACTGTGCAACGTCAAAAAAGAAGTAGAACTTCCTACTGAGCAATTGCACAAAAATAAGCAGGCATAAATTCTTTAAGTGATCATCGTTGCAACAATGACAATAAAAGAAACACTACCAAACAAATGCGTAATGAGATTAAATGATAGGCAACCTTCCAATATTAACAACACACAACTGCCTCTCTGTAGCAAGTCGTTGCAACTTCTCAAACAATAAACGCCTTGAATCTTTATCTTTGATTCTGTAGTGTGGGTTCTCAGATTAATATCTTCTATAGCTAATTTTCCTGCAGAGCTATTTCCGTGTCTCCATCCAACTCAAATATTGAACATGACATGATTTTACCCTTAGAGCACTACCCCTGACAATTAAAATTAGCGAAATATCCCTCACATGATTTTTGACTAAACTGCTACCATTAAGAATTCCGTCCAACTTGATAGAAATTGTGCTACGTGCGCATTTTTAGAGGTGATAAGAAAAAAATTCAAGTCAAAAGTCAAAAACTAATGCAAAAGGACAATATTGCCCTTGTCTTCATCTTCTTCTTTTTTTTTTTTTTTTTGATCGGCAAATGTTAGTTGTTAGTTGTTAGATTAGCGCCTATGGCAGAAAATCTCCTCATCCATGGAAAAGCACCTAAATGCTTGCACTCCCTTCGTTCAACCCCCCTAAGGTGAATTGAACCCATGACCTCATTGGGACTAAGCCCTAAGGAAGGCATGGTGGCCAATTAGGCTAGGCCTAGTTGGTTCCCTTGTCTTCATCTTCTGCATCTAACCCATGCGAAAACCATGACACTAACCCGCCTACCCCTTCCCACCACCCCCAGTCACCTCCCCAGCCACCTTCCTCACCTCCCACCATTCCCAATCACCTCCTAGTAAGTTCATGGTGAAGCCACCTCCCCAACCACCTTCCTCACCTCCCACCATTCCCAATCACCTCCTAGTAAGTTCATGGTGATTATGGTATTCTAAAGAGAACTTTGGTGCTATACCCAGGAATAACATCCGACTTTTGCTTGAGATGGACATGTTAAGTTTCTCTTTGTTTTTGTCTATAAATAAGCCCAAAATTTGTGTGAAAAGTTCTAGACAATGCATCTCCAGTGACATCCAACCTCATCCTTGCCTGCCTGAAGATGATTGCCAACTCAAGAAACCCAAAGTTTTAGCTTCCTCAACTCTCCCATGGCAAAGTATGAATTCAGCTTTGTCAGTATCCCTCTGTCAGGCTGGGTCTGAGAAGACAAAATGACTTACTCCTTTGTAATACATGCAAAATTCTGAATACCAATCAGATCCAGATTTGCAAGTAAGTCAAAAGCCTGGCTATCTAAATCATGGGATTCTCCAACAATTTAGTTCCTGCTCCTTCAATGGCTGGCTAAATTAGAAATCAAGCTGTTAATGCAATAACTAATAGCCCGAATTGTGAGAATAAATTATGTATATATTGGCCCTGTTTGGTAGAGTTGTGGAAAAGTGCTTATAACTTATGCCTTAACAGCTTATAACTTATAATTATGAACATAAGTTGATTTCTGACTTATAAATTAAGCATCTTCAGCCCCACTCAAAGAATAAGCTGATTTCTGACTTACAAAAAGTTATAAGCTGCATTGTTAAGGTAAACCAAACACATCAAAATAGCTTAAATTAAGCTGAAAGCTGAAATAAGCAGCTTTTAAGCTGCACCAAACAGGCACATTGTATATTAGGAATTACGAAAGATTGTGGTGCAAGTAAACTCCCATGGCAAAGTATGAATTCAGCTTTGTCAGTATCCCTCTGTCAGGCTGGGTCTGAGAAGACAAAATGACTTACTCCTTTGTAGTACATGCAAAATTCTAAATACCAATCAGATCCAGATTTGCAAGTAAGTCAAAAGCCTGGCTATCTAAATCATGGGATTCTCCAACAATTTAGTTCCTGCTCCTTCAATGGCTAGCTAAATTAGAAATCAAGCTGTTAATGCAATAACTAATAGCTCGAATAATTGTGAGAATAAATTATGTATATATTGTATATTAGGAATTACGAAAGATTGTGGTGCAAGTAAACCTGGAATAGGGTTTAAGTGTAATAAACTCAAACACTCAAGCAGAATCACAGAGAGAGAGAGACAAGAGTCGAAGTCGACACTGGACTGGAGCAGCCGACACAGAGCAAAAGTCGAAGTCAAAGCCAATCGAGAGGAACAAGGGCAGGCACCTCTTCGATCTCGCGAACCAAAGGGAGAGACAGAGAGATCACACTTGCGAATCTGAGAGAGAGAGGGAGGTCACAACCAAGCAAATCCAGAACGTGAAAGAAAACTAGGTCGCGATTTCGGCGAGAACAAAGGCTGATCACGGCAAGAACAAAGGCTGATCACGATGCTGGTACCCTCGTGACTTCGGAGAATAGAGATGTTGAACAGAGGAGATGGGTTATTCAAATCACAAACCAGACTCAGGTTTTGAACTGAGAAACGACAACCAACAAGACTAGGGTTTCGCACACGGCCTCTGATACCATGTAAGAATTCTGAATGAATAATCTGTATATTCAATTGTGTAGAATTTGCAAAGGGTTCATCAGTTTATATAACCCTAAACCTATGACTAAAAAAGGAAATACAGCCAATTCAAATATTTACACCATAATCTTTCCTAATTCCTAATATACAATATATACACAATATATTCTCACAATAATAACCAAGCAATGCTCTGTACTTCCATCTCGACAAAAATATAAAATCTTAGATATTACTTGAAAAGAAGCTTTTTCTGATGTAATAGCTCGAGGATCCTTTCTTTTGCTGTAAGGTTTCTCCCATGCAAGCATAGTTATGAAAATCAATCTCCGAAATGCAGGTTCCTAGCAACAGATGGTCCAGAAAAAATAAGAAAATTAGTTAGCTTACAAATCCTAAAACTCAAAAGCTCTTTAAAAAAATGTACAAGAAAGGACTAAAATTAAGATATTTTAACGCTCCGTTTATTTGGGTGGAAAACATTTTCTACGGAAAACTTTATCCAGGAATTTTTTTCTGGAGAAAATATATTTCTATGTTTGGTGGTGGTGGTGGTGAAACGAAGGTGGAGGTGGAGGTGGTGGCGGTGGCATGGTGGTGGGGCGGTGGTGATGGTGTCAGTAGCGGTGGTGATGGTGTGGTGGTTGAGGTGAGAGTTGTGGTTATAGTATGGTAACATTGTTAAGACTTGAGTCCGGAAAATGTTTTTCGTCTTTTAAAAGTGGAAATCATTTTCTGCCCATATAAGCTTATTTTTTGTTGACTATAAAAAATATTTTTCGTTGACTATAAAAAATATTTTTCGTTGACTTTTGTTTTTCATTGTAATTGTACCAAACACCAGAAAATACAAAAACCATTTTCCGCCCAAACAAACAGAGCAATAGTGTGCCCAATTAACCCGGAATCTACGACCATTTTAAAGTTAATCCTTCTCGGAGCATATGACGAGATCAAGCATTGCAAATGAAGTACACTTTAAAAATGAAATTAAAGCCAAACATAAGCCCCTACTCCCAATAAAACTGAAAAGCAGCCTCTAGTTTGCAAAGGTTCAAGAAAGAGATCCTAGATGCCAGAAAAGGGATACTATCAAGATTTAGCAAACAATGGATCAACAACTTTACTTAGAATACTCAATTTCAAAATTTTATGGATGTGTCACTGACCAATTCAAGAAGTTCATCAAAATCTAAAAAGTTGAGCTCATCATTTTGACACTTAATTAGTTGGTTGACACAATTATTCGCTTCTTGTGTCCATTAAACACAATTGATTGAACAATCTGTAACTGAAGCATTACATTTCTAAGTTGTAATTGGAATATTGTTACAACGTCTGATTTCCTTGATGTAAAAACCTATCACCTTCACCCTAGCATGATCACATTAAACACTTGAGAGAAAACCTTCACAGCTTATGCAGATGACACTACTGAGCTATATGGCAGCAATTCCTTAAATTAGAATCCAGCCATTACCAACCCAAGGCCTGAAAAGCTCACATAGGCTTTATTTGTCAAACAACATGTTTTCAATGAAAGAAGCATCAAAATTAAAATAAATAAATAATATTAACACGATTTCAGCACACACCTCATCACTCTCGTAGAAATTCTTGGATCAAACATTACCTAAATGCAAAACCAGCCAGCCACTAAGACCCACCAATTGAATAACTAACATAGATCATCCAACAATGTGCTACTTCACAACAATAAATTGATACCCCAAGGCACCAACAAATGTTTGTCAGTTAACATCTCTTTTGGCAGGAGGAAGGTTAAAATAGTATAAGGGCTCTCACATTCAGAACTACCCTTTCTTTGAATGCCTGTATACCTTTTAATACAACTATCCCTCCTTTGACTCAACTTAGAAACCATAACCAGTAATACATACATGCATCTAATGACATGAGATCCTTATAATGGTGATGTAGCACCAAGAAGAAGAATATCATATTGGTTTTGGAATTGTGATCCGGAATTTATCACAGTTGACCATCAAGAGAGAGAGACTACTATATCAATCCAAAAACAGAAAAGGCATGAAGCTAAAATATTATACCAAGTCACAAACCTTGAGGCATGGATGAATTTCAGAACCATCTCTCGACAAGAACCTAAAGCAGCAATACTCCACCAAATTACGGGCATCATTATATACAGCTTCGGGAACAAGTGCTTTAAATATCTTCTGCATTTTTAGCCCAGTCAATCCGTTCATCCTGCATATTATAAATCTTGAAAAGTCAATCTTGATTCCATTAATAGACTGAATAATAATTTCCTTGGACATAACAATGACAACAACAATAGCCAATAGCATAGATCTTTTTTGGTTTTCCTTTTATATTTTTAAGGGCATTGCTTGGAATCCGAAGCTCGAGTATTGTCCATGCACCATTTTTCTTCTCCACCATGACAAATCAATTGATTTAATGTTGGCATGCTCTTTACTTTGTCCTCCTCCTGAATTTTTCCCTCTCACTAGTAGGTTATTCCTAATATGAAGCACCCCTTTTCCATTCATAGAGATAGCCAATGATCAAAATCAATAAAAGGCCATCAAGCTCATGCTAGCACATGTGAAGATGTAGGTTTGAATCTGTAAGCAGACACTTTGTGCAAATAATAATGTATCAACTCTTACCCCTCCCAACATTCTCGATTAACAGGGACCAAAACTCGGTAATGTTGTTTTGACAGTATTTTTTTCCGCTAATATATGGTACAACTGGGCCACTCTTTCAATGACAAAACTCCAATTGGTTGACCTGGTTACCTCAGCCAAAGATGAAGTGGATTGCTAAAAGATCAATTTGAAGCCAAAAACACCAACTTTCTTAAAAGTTTGAAGAGTTAAGTTGGGTTACTTTGAGAGATCCTAAGTCCTCTGGTTTTGCACACTTAGATGTAGACACTAATCATATGCCTTTCTTATTCATTCAACTTCTTAAATAAAACCTCATACAATCGTAAAAGCCATGAAAATAGGAAGGATCCAACAAAATAGATACACATCCTCTAAGCTTTAGGAGGACTATAAAAAGACTCCAACTATCTATTGGCTGGATTAAGATACATGCCAAGGTGTCCAATACTAATAGGTGAGTGAAGGTGCTAGAAGGGAAAGGGCTATCATTGGCTCATTGCCAATAGAATGGGCCACTGTGGACGTTGATGGAAGACCATGGTGTATGTTATGATCCCACATCAATTAGCAAAGGCCTTGGCCATGTGCATATAAGCCTCTTGAGTACCCCTCCCCTTGCAAGCTGATTTTCAAGGGTGAATTATACCCAAGTGGTTCATATCATTTGGAATCAGACCAGGCCACCATGTCAGGTACAGGATCAGGTGCACCTATGCGAGCATGGGATCAGATGTGGTCATTTTTTAGGATTGAGTCGCGGAGGGGTGACCGATAGATTGGATTAAGATGCTTGCCAAGGTGTCGAATACTGATAAGTGAGTGAAGCTGCCAGAAGGAAAAGGGATATCATTGGGTCACTCAGTGTTGATAGAGTGGGTTGTCGTGGACGTTGGTTGTGCAACATGGTAGGATGTTACGGTTCCACATCAGGGCACCCTCTCCTTGCAAGCCGGTTGTCAAGGGTGAGTTCTACCCAAGTGGTTTATATCAATATATCAAATTAACTTGGTTTATTTCAAAACCAATACACAGAGTTTGTTTTACAGTTAAAAATAGGAGCAATCAATTCTCTTTTTAAAATTAAAAAAAGAAGAAAAAAAAAAACGGAATTACATAATATAATCAATTTCAGCAACTTCAAACCACAAATGACCACACCGCCTAATGTCCTCACCTGCTGAATTGCTCGATGGAAACAACAGCGGCCAAGGAAAGATTCCCATTTGGTGTTCTACTATCAATTGTTTGTTCTGCCATGAAGATGTCCTCTTTATCTTGAGTATCAAACATATTTCCAGGAGTAGGCTTTCTATCATGTACAGTTTTCACCAGAGGAGAAGTCACTTCACTCAAGAAGTCTTGAGTCTTTGATAGCCATTGGTTTAAAGTTTCTTGCACTGCAGCTGTCAAGGAAAAAAATATTTTACATAATCCAGATAAAAAACAATCAAAAAGCTCATATTCTTATTAATTATCTATGACAAGTGAGCAAATTTTGACATGATATGGTGCACTGTGCACTTTGATCTATGCACTTCAATATTTATGGTCTACATGTAATTCAGCCAGATCTGAACAAACTATATGTCCTCAACCAAATGAATATTTTAAAGTGAAACCACTTCATTCAATTAGGGTCTCCTTTTTCTTCTTAAAAGCATATATACAGATGTGAAGAAACATAACCTAAAGGCCACCAAAATTCATATAATAGGTGAAGCAAAGACCCCTAAGAACAAGAGTTAAAGAAAATTTATCAAAGTGTGCCTCAGAGACTCAATCCTCCCAAGGCTCTTTTTGACTAACATACCTCAAAACTGAAGAGTTTAATGTCTTAAAAAATAGAAAGTTGCATCAAAAGTCTTATTGACATAGTTATACAAAATCATCACTATTTTTTGGTAAGGAAGATATAAAATAAAAAAGGCAACAAAGATAAAATTCTGCACTTCGGTTTGAAAGGTGAGTCTTTTATCCCCTCAAATGAGCTCATCTTGCTACCCTTAAGTTGGAAATTTATTCGAAGAGATAGAGTGTGAATTTTTCTACATAATGCAAGGCATGTTTCCTCTGCAATGAGTTTTCATCTCCCCTCATGCAAAGATTGTTGCATGATTCTTGAGCTATTTTCACGGCTTTTTCTAGGCTTGTGGAGACATTACAAAGCATGAGAGTTTATTTGGGAGGGTTTTCACCAGTTCTTGTTAACAACTAAGCCCTCAAACCCCTCTCTTCTGATTTCTCTTATTGGTAGTGAATTCCCTCTTGCCAGCTTACACGGATGCCTAAGAACTGAACCATGCAAAATCCCACCTTGTGTTGTTGCTTTTTTTCCTATGCTTTGCTATACAATTACACTGGCGTAGGACTTTTTGTTGATTATTAGTGTTTGCAATCATCAATCAGAGTTTACAGTTGCCAGCATCATTAGCATGAAAACACAGAAGTTGCATCACTTCTACAGAAGGTTTACCAAAATTTTGAAAAGGCTATTGTGCCCCCACCCCCAAGGGCAACACGGTACACGTGGGAGGTACAATTATGCACAAAGAAGGTGTGTGGGTGCTTATCCTAACTAGATGAACACATTTCACGCTGGAGAGGGGGCATGTGGCATAATCTCATTACTCAGCATCAAATAAGATGTCACACCACATGGGTCCCTATGATTGGCCACTACTCATAAAGGTTGTTAGAAGATTGTGTCTGGAACGAGGGGAAGGTATCGGCCCCACAGTCCTAGGCACAAAACCATGTGCATTGAAGGAGGAGCACGTTGGAGGGCAAAGAAGATGTATATCAGTTGGATAGAGGAGAAGGAAGGTGGTTACACTCCAGGTGGTCTCAGCCAAGTTGGTACTTTGTTACCAAGTACTCCAATTAGGGTTTCAGTAGTTGGAGAGCAAGCAACACCCAACAATATATATACCCCCTCCTATCCCAATTGAGAAAGGTATGTCGTATCTACTAAACTTAATTCACTCTCTCCCACGAATTCTCTCCACTGGCTCAATACCTACACTAACTTAGCCATTGAAGTGCCCTCCGGCCATCTAACAAACAGCTGGTAGGCAATAACAGTTTGCTCATCTTTCAGGTGCAGACTTGCAGTCAAGCACCACAGGCGTTCATCGAGCTCTTATCTCTATGGAGGATACAATATAAGTTGTCAATTCACAAGGCAAACCCAGTAAGTCCTTTAATTTAATCCTATTTGTTCCATAGCAACCAAATATTATCAATAACTTACAAAAACATGATATCTATAGTCTATAGATGCTCTAAATTAGCAGGAAAACTCAAAGGCATAGAGATGGAGTGAAAATTGGGTGAAGAGAACTATCATCTTGACAATTAATAAAGAATCTAATAAATAGAAAGGAACCCAAAACATAATATCTGATAAAGCATTAAACCCATCAACATCTAGGAAATACACTAAGAAATAGCAGAGTATAAAGAGTTGGTTTTTTTTTTATATGTACTCACTGCCATCAATAGCATTTAGCTTCCATCTATTATCACCTCGGAACAGACCCACGATTCTGAACCGAAACTTGTGGTCTGAAGAAGAAGAATAAGACTGAGGAAAATTTCTAGAACAGCACTTAATCTCGGAAAAAATTTCATGGTGGTATGGGATTAAACGAAAGGTTGGCGATGATTTGAGGTGGGTTACTGATAATTTTGAGTGCATTTTTTTTTTTTTTTAGCTTTTGATTTTTCAAGATTCAAGGATTGATTTCATAGCTTAATATATGAGGAAATAATTATATTCATGTTCACACACACATGACACACATGTATAAACACCAGAAATCAATGATGGTATGAGATGAAAGTGGATTTGGTAAAGACAATATAGTTCCAGTAGCGTGTAATGGCGAAAGTGGTAATCTATTATTCATAACGTGTTTCGGCCTTTTCTGTTTCCTAGTTAAAAAAATCACGTGTAACCCACGTGCATCATCACCAGTCCCTGTTATTTTGTCTGGTTGGTGATGTATAGGGGTGTAATGGTGCCTGACCCGGCCGACCTAAGTCCGGATTCGGACTGACCCATGTCATGTCACACGAATTTCTATCAAAGTTATCGGGTTGGATAGCGGATCCAAAAAAAAAAGACTCATGCCCAATAGTATTCGGGTCTTTGGTGACTTGATAGGTTGGGCCAACAGTCCTTGATCTGGACTCGAATTTGCAGTAAGCTTGGTTCGGCCTAATCAGTTTTTAATTTTTGCCGTTGGAATTTTTTCTTCAATCAAAAATGACATCAGGCCTCGGACGGATCGGCCATTTAGTGGGCCTAAAGTGGATAGATAAGTCGAGTCACAAGCTGGGCCGAGCTCCAAAACACACAGTTCAAGCCCAAAGCCTAGGGCTGAACTCGGGCCTAAGCTAACTGGGTTACATACAAGTTTCGGGTGAGCCGCGTGCTCGTTGGCCAAATTTATACCCATTATGTAATTTATGTTATTTTGTCATAAAAATTACATCATAACATTTGTTTAAAATGTGATTTGTCCTTTATAATTTTGGAAATTATATTTCGCCTTTTAAAGATTTTAATTTTATAACAAATTGTCTATTTTATTAATAAATTATCAAGTAACTTAACAGTTTCTAATAATGTCAAAATTTTATTTCAATTAATAATTCAAATAATTTTATCATTAAGAGAGTAGTTAAGAATTTTATTTTTTTATAGTTAATTTTGTTAAATAAAAAATTCTCACAATGGGATATTTGTAATTTTCCAAACCATAGGAGCAATTCGTATTTTAAATAAATTTCAAATAGTGTATTTATAATTTACTTTAAAAATTATGAATGAAGAAATTTAGAGACAATTACTTCTTAGTAGGGGTGGGAATTTGACACATAACTCGTTAGCACGGCTGGAATCATACACGTAATTAGAGGGTTAGAGTTAATTTTTTTGCTCAAACCCAAATATGACACGATCCAAAAATACACGAATATTAAATGAGTCATTTTTGGTTAAACACACGAAACCCGAAATGAAGACGTTTGACCCACGTAAAAATTTATGTCGATACGTTAACATGAATCTACTATTGACTCGCATGTAACCCAAACACAACATGAATTTAATAACCATAAGATCTTGAGTAATTATTGTGAGGGAGATTTATAATCTGGCTTTAGGTCGTGGTAAAAGCTGGACGGATAGGACCGAGCATGTTGGGCCGAGCTAATTTGGGCCAATCCATAGTGAATTTTGCCTGGTTAAGGCTCGGGCCCCCTGTTTAGGCCGAGCTGACTGAGGCCTCCCTGGAGTTGATCTTGCTCAGTCGAGGCTTAGGCCTGAGGTCCAGGTCTAATGTTTGAACCGAGCTTACTTGGCCGAGATGACCGCCTGCTAACCCGGGTTCCATGGGTCGCACGCGTAGCTCGGCGGGAAATGTCTTCTGTTCACCGATCGACTTGTCTTGAACTCGGCTCTGCCGAAATGCTTCCGAGCTCGGCTGTTATGAAGCTTGGCGAACGGAGCACTCAGGCACATTACGCAGCACGGTCATGGGAAGCCGAGGTGATGCCACCGGGATGCCGAGCTCCCGCTAATGTAGTCTGGTGGTATGGTTAGGTGGTGATTGCTGGATTTGTGCTAACAGATGGGAAAGCAACTCCACGTGTCAAAAGACCAATGGGAGTAGATTTGAGCGCAGAAAGTATATAAACAAGACAGCGCCCCCCATGCTGAGGATGAAACATAATTTGGTGAGAAAAACCTAAACACTCAAGTCTCTCATCTCTCTCTCTATCCCTGAGTGTGTGTTAACTTGACCATTGGAGGGGTTTTCCGGCCACACACCGCCGGGTAGCTCACCGCCGTTGTGTTCGCAGGTCGATTGGACAGACGAGGAGCTTGGACAAAAGAAGTACGGGCACTGCGGAATATTTGCTTCCCGTACAATTGGCGCCGTCTATGGGAAGTTTGATAGACAAAACCTTGTCTTCCAAGCTCATCTGATCGCCTTCAATGGTGAACAACGACGAGATACCGTTGTCTGCCATCGATGGTGTTACCCTAGAGTCAACCAGAGGGAGAGACAGACTCCCCGCCGTTCCAAACATGGCGGGCCTGGAGACTTCCCCAGAAGGACATTCAAGAGACGCGCAGGATAAGCGCAGTAGAAGTTTTGGTAACTCTCGAAGCCCAGACGGGCACCGACGGCGAAGAGAATCACACGCTAGGCATCTGGAGCACAAGTTAAGGGACCAAGACGCCATCATCCGGAGAATGACGGCGGAGATGGAAGATCTCAAACGGCATGTCAAAGGGAAGGGTGTTGTTGGAGTTGGAGACCACAGTGAGCGCACCCAACCACGCCGTTCAGGCAGTCAGAGCCAGCGGCACACTCCCTCCCTTTCTATCACCAGAAGCTACAAGGTTGGAGAATCTGACACGCTTGTAGAGAAGTCTAGCGCATAAGAAGGTACCTATCAACCCTCACGTCCAGCGACGACGTCGAGGTATTCCTATTCCGTTCGCTCAGAGGACTTGCGGGCAGTCTTGAAGGAGCGAGCTCACCGGCAAGAGACTCAAAGGGTGCCGGTGCTCCAGCGGCTATCTTACGGGGGCCGCGCCAGTGAAGAGGTCATAATGCCAGCACCCCGCCCAGCCATGCCTCTCCTTCTAGACACAGATTTGGCAAGGCTGAACACCACCCCCTTCTCCCTTGAGATAGAAACCACTCCGCTCCCCGCGGGCTTTCACCAGCCCAAGTTTACGCTCTATGATGGAAAGAGCAATCCATACATGCATGTAAGCCACTTCCGGCAGGGCATGGTCGGACACAGGCGCAATGACGCTCTTATGTGCCTTATCTTCCTGTTGAGTTTGGGTGAGCTAGGCTTGAAATGGTTTGAGAGGCTGCCGGAGGGAAGTATCGGAAGGTGGCAGCAGTTGGTGGAAGCCTTTGTAACTCGTTTCAAGACCAACACTAAAACGCCGAAGGAGGTAGACCACATTCTCAGTGTCAAAATGGAGTCGAGCGACACACTCAAGGCATACAACTCCAGATATTGGGAAACCTTCAATGAGATTTTAGGTTGCCCGATCAACTTGGCAATCACCCAATATAAGCACGGTCTCCCGGTCGGACATAGGCTGCGGGACTCGCTTACCATGAACCAGCCGACATCCATGGCCAACTAATGCAGCGCATCAATGAGCACATCCGAGTAAAGAATAATGCGGCGGCATCCACCGTGAAGACAACTCCGGTGGTAACAGACAAGAGGTCGGCTGGCAAGGTGCACGCGGTCGGACAGGAGACTAACCGTCCAAATGACCGCACTGAGGAATCTGACCGAGGGTCAAATCGTTGAAACCTAGGAAGGGGACGTCGGAATGACCGAGATGAATACCCCCGCGATGACGTAGCTGATGCCAACAGAAGGTTGAAAGCTCGGACGGGCATCACCATGGTCTTTAAGATTCCAATCTATTGCATACTTAGTGAAATCTGTAACGAGGATTACGTCCGATTTCCTACTAAGTTAGGTGACGCGCAAAAGGGCTTCAACCCGCGGTACCGCTGCACATATCACCGAGAGCGAGGACACCGGACGGAGGACTGTTTGCCTCTGAAGGAACACTTGGAGGAGTTAGTCGCAGCCAGACACTTAGATTTTTACATCGATGGGGGTGTTAAGGCCACGCATCCCACCCCAGCTGATCCGTATGGACCGGCTGACTTGGAGGCACCCCCTCAAGGAGTGGTTAATGTGATTCACGGCATAGTGGAGCCGACGCGTGTATGTGAGCTCCGCGGGATGATCAAAAAGCAGAACACATAAGGGAAGTTTTGTCAGTCCAGCCTGCGATCAAAAGAGGGAAGACCGAGGAAAAAGATGTGATTAGTTTCTCCACAAGAGACCTAGAGCGCATTCAAACGCCACACAACGATGCCCTAGTGGTCACCCTCCGCGTCAAACAGTTCGATGTCAAGCGCATCTTGATTGACCAGGGAAGCTCGATTGAAATTATGTACTACGATGCGTTCAAACAACTCAAACTCTGAGATACAGACTTGGCTCCGGCTACTTCGCCACTGGTAGGTTTCAACTCGCAACCGGAGTGGCCTTTAGGGAAAATAATTTTACCAGTCAAGGCCGGATCCGTGGTCAAGCAGGTGGAGTTCTGGGTATTGCAGGTGCCGTCTACATACAATCTGATCCTCGGTAGGGCCTGGCTTCATGCTATGCAGGTTGTAGCGTCGACCTACCACCAGGTTATGAGATTCCCCTCGGCTATGGGGAAATTAAGGAAATTTGGGGCGATCAAGTCATGTCGAAACAATGTTTCGTGGCAGTGAATGGGAGCCGAGCTGCCAAAGGCTTCGTGCAAATGATTGAAGGCCCAAAAGACCAGAGTGTCCTTAATGACGTGGGCACTAGGGCGGAGGACAAAGCTGTTGAAGAATTGATAGAAGTACGGCTCGATACAGAAAATCCAAACAAGTTCTTTTGGCTTGGATCAAGCCTAACCGCTCAAGAAAGGGCCGAGATGGTAGAGTTCTTGATGGGAAATATTAAAGTCTTCGTATGGTCGCCCTACGACATACCTAGCATCGACCCAAGTTTTATTCGCCACCAACTCAATGTTTTCCCTGATGCGCGGCCAGTCATTCAGAGAACAAGAAGATCAGCTCTTCATCATGCCGAGGTAGTCGCGGAGGAGGTAAGGAACTTGCTTGAAGCACGGGCTATTTAGGAAGTGCACTACCCTCGGTGGATTTCAAACACGGTCGTAGTACCCAAGAAGAATGGGAAGTGGCGAGTTTGCGTTGACTACAAGACCGTCAACCGAGCTTGCCCTAAAGACAGCTTTCCTCTGCCCATAATAGACC